GTGGTGGTGGTAGAGGTAGAGGTGGTAGTAACGGTGGTCCTAGTGATGACGGACACAGTGATGGTAATAGTAGTAAAGCTAGCACCAGTACTAGTACTGGTGTTAGCAATGGTAATATAACGGCTTCTGTTAGTGTCACTGTTGCTGTTTGTCTGTCATTTTTTGTTGGTGCTGTCGTGGCTGTTTCGGGGTGGTGGTGGTAGTGTGTCGGCGGCGGTTGTGGTGGCTGCTTGTGTTAATGTTGATGATGCCTTTGACGTGGTTGTCTTGCTTGCTTGCTTGGTCTTTCGTGGAACGAGTTTTGGATGTTGGTTCGTCGCGTCAAGTCATGTTTGTTGGCACATGGGAGACATTTCAGACGTCATAACCCGATTTGAGGTGTTGGTTCTTTGTAACATAGGCAGGCAACACCAGCGCAAACTTGACGAACACTGCAAACAGATCCTTTCACGAGAAAGATCGCAGAAGGCCAGAGGTTTGAGTGAGTAGGTATGCCGAGGTAGGGGTGATGCAACTGACCAAAAACACGTCAAGCATGTCGTTCTTCGCCACAAAGGCATGGCACTCGCGAAGGGACCTCTTGAANNGAAGGACGGCGAGAAAGGTGAGTTGCTTGGCTTTGATACCGATGTGGCCGATGGCGCATTGAGTGTGTTGCCATCAGTTTGATGCACTACAAGCTCGCCCGAGGCTGGAATATGCAGTTCCCTGGAATGCATTCAGAACAGATAGATTCCAGGCATGCTCACCTTGGATCTCCCTATTTGTTGCACAGTACTTACAGATAAGGCGGCAGCTGTACGTGTGAAACCAGGGTCTGAATTCGTTGCCCAGGTGCACTTCAAGCCGTTGTCGTGAGGGACTCTGGAACTTTCAAGGTGTACTGAGGGTGGCATGGCTCTCCTGTCAGTAGGACCTGCAGCTAGGAAGATGACAGAACAAATCATAATCCACGGCATGTATTTTTGCTCAGGGCCTAGCTCCAACGTGCTTGCTTGGAAAAAAGCGGTAGGATTCGAGCACCCTAGCTGACAGGGTGGCCAGGGCTGTGATACGCCTCTGCAAATGTACCTCGCAGGTCTGCCAATATCCGGGAAAAGTGAGTAAAATGCAAGATGCAAACAAGCGATGTGCTCATTCCGAAAATCATTGTGCGGACCTGCAGAATCTGTTGCCCACGAGATACTAGGACCACACTGCATGCGCGAATGCGCCTTGGTCTTTGCGCGGCAGCGCTCCAGTGTTTCATGATAAGCAAGGCAGCGGAAGAAAACGGAGAGATTCGGATGGCACAGCGGCCGGACCTGTTGAAAGGCCGAAGCTCCACCTGGAGCATTGTTCACAAAGTTTAAAGAGCCGAGAGCCTCGGGAAAGCACTCCTAGTCGACGGTCATGTCATGGGTTGTTTCTGAGGTGCATGGAAGATGGCGGTCCTTGCCCCAAGACTTCCCGCGGGAGCATCCGCACTGCTAGAACCATCCGGATCCCTTCCTTCGCCGTGCTTCCGCACCATGGCCAGCCGGACGGCCGAGGTGTTGAGCCAGCAGACGTGGCTTTCTACTTCTGCCACTGGCTTACGGACTTGGCGGGAGCGGAGCCGTACCCGCAGGAGCCACCGGTTTGCATGGGGCTCGAGTGCCACCTCAACTACGATTCCAAAGCAAGCCGTGTCCTGTTGGACTCACTGTATTGAACACATTTGCAGTCATTTGCAATGCATGTGCGCTGGGGTGATTGCGCCTGCTGCTGCTGCTGGCAGGAAGGCTGCGAGAAGTTTGTTCTTAAGTTTCCACGAACGGCACGGGATCCCAGACAGGGTTTAGATGACTCGGATATGGGGCTGGCAGACTAGGGCCCCACTCGGCACGCATCCATATGCCGCCGAACTTGACAACGCGAGACTGGTCTACGGCACTTTCGATGGCTCTACCTCAGACCGGAACATCGCCCTTCATGAGCTCTTCAGGTGCTGAGCTCCTTCATCAAATCGTTCAAGATCGTGGGGGAGCTGGCAGTGAAGTGCGCCTGTGATATGCCTCGTTGACGTGCCAAAGCTGCGCAGACTTTGTTATCGAATGGTCTTGAAAAGCCCTAGCGGGTTTCACAAGCCCCGCATTCAGCTCTCTGGCGCTGGTCTTCGCAGGTCCGAGTCCCAGGTGCTGGAGGACTACCTCGCCCGGAGCCTAACATAGTAGCAAGGCATGGGACGACCTCGGGTGAAGGCAGGTGCCCAGTACGAGCGTCCGAATATCATAGAGGCTACTCTGATGAAGTTCGGGTCTGCCGTCATGATGCAATGTGGAAGCCTTAACTTCCATGCCTGTGCAGCCGCCGTTCGCCTTCGAGGTGTGGAGGTGGACTTCACATCAGCCCTCGTTGGGAGTCGCAGGAAGCTCAGCGATTTCGTGACAGTTGCTCCGATACAGTCGGAAGCCCCATTTTCGGAGGCCTTAAGCAGCAAGGCACGAGTTATCGGTAATCCGTGGTTTTCAGCTTTTTGCTTGTAAGGAATATTGGGGGGCTGAGAAAGTAGCCCGGGCCCTTGTCAAGTTCAAAATACAGGGTAGCTCCTACGATCGGCAGCTCTCGGCAGAACTGTCCCCAGATTCTGCCAGGTACCCGCAGACCGTGGCAGCATCGCGGCACTGAGGCTTGTAGTCATGGCCCGGGCGGCCCAGTCCTGCTGAGGGTTTTCGGCTTGGCCTGGATCGCTGCTTTCTGGTTCCTTCCAAACGGAGAGTCTGAAGGAGGGAGAGAAAGAGCCTTTCTGCTCCGAGCCGTGCACGTGGCAGTGTTTTCATCTAGTCTAATCAGCCCGAACGGGGCATCGGCAGCTGCTGCGAGAATTGTGAGTCGAGTGCAGCGAGCGGAGAGATGGGATCACCGGCCTTGAATTTGCTGGAGGGAAGGAAGCAAGGCAGGAAGGAAGACATGCGCGAAAGTGATTGCGCGTGCGCGCTGCGGGGTGGGTGGCACGCTACCTTAGAGTCGTTGGTTGGCAGGAAAGAGGAAGACCCAGCAGGACTACTTTCATTGTTAGATCGAGGAACAAGAGTGCCTGAGGGGCAGGCATGTGACCGACGGAATGGGTCCGGGGCACGCTGCCCCGCAGGTCCAAGTAGCAGACCTGCATCTATGAAAGGAAACGAGAACAGAGGAGCCTGCACGCAAAGATAGCTTGAGGCTCACTTACAGGGCAATGGCCCAGACTACGCGAACATCCAAGCCTAAGCCTGCACTTCTCGGTTCGCAGAGGCGCAGGGGGATAGCCAAGCCATCCTCCGCCTTGGCCTCATTGCTGCAACGTGTGTGTTCGTCGACGTCTGCTGTGACAGAAACTGCACTTGATCATAAGACTCTAACTAGGTTTCAGGGGCATTGGCAAGCAGCCTAACATGCTTTGTATGAAGGTTTGCTAGATCTCCGCCGCCGATTCGTAGACTTTGACTTTCTCCTCTTCTGAATTCTGATCGCAGGTGCTCTTACCACAGTCCCGCTGCAGGACGGATCAGCTGTAAGACAACTCTTTGTTGGAACCCAGTTGCCTGGAAGAATCGTCTCTGAACTCCTAGCACCTAGCTGCCTTGCAGGATCGTGATGTTTTGGAGGATGAGCTGGCTCACACTGGCTGCAAGGACGCATTCCACGCGAGCCTCAAGATGTCCGAAGCGAGGGCTCTCCTGACTCGGAGGAGCAACTTTTCGAGCTGGAAAACTGTCCTGAGGGCACTGTGCCCATGGGCCAGTGCCTCGATCCCTCTTGCTCTCGTAGCAGATCCGAGAAGGGCACCATCGGATTTGAAGCGAGAAAACGTCGGCCATGGTTTGAAGCATCTTTCAAGGTCCTGCGATCCTGATATACTATGCGCCGGCGCTCATGCAGAAGGTGCGCTGGCATGATGAGATGACGCCAACTGCCCTTTGCCGACCCGCTCCCTGCAACTCGTGAGTAAGTACCTCCTGCCTTTGGCGAATTTGCCGGGGGTTCCTTTGTCTTCCGCTGTGCTGCCCAGGCTGGGAAGTCGGATCCCAGCTCCGCGATGAGGCCAAGTTCTGTCGGGGAAGCATCGCATTGGAAAGAAATGGAGCGAAGGGTCAGCTGGTTTTAACGCGTTGTCTGGAGTCTGGAGTGTTTGTGGCGAGAACAAGCTTGGATAGACAAAGCAGAGAACGCCCATGCTGTCATGCCGAGACTGCATGGTGGGTCGAAGTAGAGGCCTCTGTCCTTCCGCAATACCAACTTGTTTTGGCCGAATCGTTCCTTCCCAGAACTTCGGGTGTAGAAATATGGGAGCGGTCTAACGAGGTTAGAGGTGGGGAATCCTTGCAAAGTCAGAGCTGCAGTCTGCCAAGCTTGGACTGGGGCTGCGCAGGATACTGGCAGAGATCTTCCGGCAAGCGCGGCAACTCTGGCCGTGCGGTGGCCCAGCGAACGCGAGAATCAAGAAGATGCCACCGGCCTCTTCTCCCAAATGGGGAAAGCCTTCCTCCTCCGCTCATAGCAACGGCCAATCAAAGTCAGACTCTCCGAATCTTCCTTTGAGCAAGAAGCCAACAGAAATCCAACCTCGAAGGCCCTTACGCCGAGAATAGCGGCACCGCGCCCTGAGTCGGCTGAGGATGCTTCCCAGCTCCGCTGGGACGGTCGTCACCGTTCGCATCGACGTCCTCAAGGAGCTCGAGGCGCGTCAAGCACAGATTACACTATACTATACTATACTATACTATACTATACTATACTATACTAGACTCTATTCTACAATATTATATTGTGTTATATTATATCATTATATCATATTGAATTTCTACTATATTAAGATATATCATATTAAAACATATCATCTTATATTCGTGTATTTTATATTATATTAGTATATATTAGTATATCTTTTGCTATGTTATATTATATTACATTATACTATATTATATTATAATATATTATATTTTATTATATTGAATTTTCTACTATATCAAAATATATCATATTAAAATATATTATATTATCTTAGTACATATCATATTATATTGGTATATTTGGTATTATATTAGTATATATTATATTGTACTAGTATATATTAGTATAAGTTATGTTAGTATATATCGTATTATGCAAAATTATATTATATTACACTATAATATATTATATTAGTATAATTTAGTATATATTAGTATATATTAGTA